TTGGTCTTCTACGAAAGGACCTACATTTTCAAACTTGTGAAAAATCTTGCGGAATAAGGACGAATCTTCTTGACTAGACATTTGAATCCGGAATTATGAATTGGTAATTTTTTATTTTTCGTGTGTTTTTATTTTTGATTAATAAGTTCTAAAATTATATTTGACCAATTAAACGGCCGCTACTCTTCTCTCAATTCAACTAAGAATAAAGCCCCCTGTCCCAACTCGGGGACAGGGTTGAAGACAGGGGCACCACATGGGGGCGCCTTGTCCCTGACCCTGTCCCCAAGTCGGGACAGGGAGCAAGATTGTTCAACTAATATGCGTGATATTATACACAAGTAATTCATAAGAAAAACTCTAAAATTAATTTCTTATGTTAACTCCCTCCAAAAATGCCTAAATTAATATGCTTTTTCTTTTTTAAAGAAAGGCTAAAATTAGAAAAGTTCATCTTTAAACCAAGCAAGTAATTGCGGTAGATTGATATAAAAAAAAATGTTTAATTGATTTTTTTTATAAACTGTTCAATCATATATTGACATGTGTTCATTTGATCACTAAACCTTTCATTCAACCTGTTACAATAGCAAGATTGAAACAGGAAATATTTAACCTCTTGAACTTATGCACACGAGGTCTGTTCACCTAAACGGTTGGAAATTTCCACCCAAGAAAAAATAAAATATAGGATCCTTACTTTGCCCCTGGAAAAGAAATTTCAAAATATTCTAGAAAAATCCAAAAAGGCATTCTACCAAACATGGCGGTGCACATAATTTATGACTTTCTTATTTTCCTATGAAACTCCTACACGTGTCTTAGACTATTAGCCTTCTACTTTTCTAGTCATAAATGCTAATCGTACGAGGAAAACACCCTCATGATTATCCAAACCGTATATAAATTTACTTATGGGTAAGTATTTTTTAACTCAATTGAGGTAAAATATCTAGGGTTAAACTCCTTGGACAGCCCAATGCCCCGGCCGCGAGGGAGTCCGGGGTGCCGGGGGGCGGGGGGGAGCTGCTGTCACACAGGTCCCTATCCACATAGCATTGCCCAAATAACTAACAACCATGCTGCCGTAAGAGGGAGGGTTTGACACCCTCTTTGACCGGCACTCACAGTAGAGGACGGGTCTCGCCTTTTTTTGCGTTTTTCATTCACGTGGATCCCACGCATGTAAGTGGATGTCAATCAAATAGACAAATAAATTCTGGCAAAAGAGTTTTATTGAATAACTAATAGCATGTTTGAGTTTCATTTTACCATTTGAAATAGTATATTGATGAAAAATGTGTGATAAAAAATGAGGAAAAATTTAAATTTCGTGTAATATTATTTTATTAAATAATGAGTTGTTGACAAAAAGAGAGAAAAATATATTTTGAAAATAATTGAGATCGAACAAGGGATAAGTCCCTGTCTGTTTGATAATTATTATTTGAAAAAAAATAATTTAAATAATAATTTTTAGGAGGATATATGATTAAAAATAGAAAAAAATTTTGGATGTAAGTATCCAGAATATTTTAGTGTGTAAATGTGATTGTAAAAGATTATGTAGAAAAGAAGAGTTTTCAAATAATGGTTATGGAGCAGGAGCTGAATTACTTTACAAGAGCTTTTATTTATTTATTTATTTACAATACAAGTAAGAAACTGGATTTGTTGAAAACAAATTCTTAATTTTCTTTAGCTAAAAAATAAATTTTAATAAATTTCAATAAAAATTAATGTGAAGTATGATTGAATAGTTAAAAAAATTATTAATTTTATAAAATGTGTGATTAAATTAATTATTAATTTTGAATTAAATTTTTATTAACATTTTTAAGTTGAAGAAATATGGCAGAAAGCTAAGTCAAGTGAAATACTCGAGGGCCGTGGTTGGGTGAAGTGGGGTTCTGGGCAAAAGGCACAGTCAATCAATTTGTGTTCTTGAAATTGTATCTTAATGTACATTTTCTCTACTTTTCTTGCACTGAATTTCATCCTACTATATCCGAATTTTCAAGATTACGGAGAGAAAAGCAAATGAAGATCCCATATATGCAGATGTTTTGTCTGATTTTCATCTTCTTTCCAACTGTAATATCAGCAGCAGATGTTTCTCCAGGTTCAACCCTGTATGCATCAAACCCACAAAATTCATGGGACTCTACGAACGGAACATTCTCACTTTCCTTCATACAAGAATCTGAAAACGTATACTTTGCTGCCATAATCTACAACGGAATTCCCGTTTGGAAAGCTGGTGGAGATCCGGGTGGTGCTGTAAATTCCTCCGCCGCCCTCCGCTTCCTCCCCGACGGAAACCTCCAGCTCGTCTACACCTCGACAGGTTGGTCTAAGATTTTTCGGTACCATGTAAAGTAGTATTTTCTCTGTTCTATTTGCTTTTTCTATTTAATTGCTTTTATCAGCGTGTCGTCTTGTTTTTTTATCCTCAAGGTTTTCAGGTCTGGCAGTCGAATACTGCTGGACGGGGCGTTTCTATGGGTGCACTTGATGATTCGGGCAACTTCATACTCAGAAATAGAAGTGGTCCAGTATGGACTACCTTTGATAATCCCACTGATACAATTCTCCCAGGGCAAAACTTTACTGTCAACCAAGTTTTGCGATCTGGATTGTATTCGTTTCGCCTATCAATGTCTGGAAATATGACTCTTCGATGGAATGATACGATTGAATATTATTCCTCTTCTGGGTTGAACGGTTCATCAGTTAACTCGAGCTTGACTTCTCCAAGCTTAGGCCTTCAACAACCAGTTGGGATCTTTTCACTTTTTGACCCAACGCTTTCAAGTCCATTGATTATGGCTCGAAGCAATGATTATGGTGAAGTTACTGATGATTCTATCCGGTTCGTGAAGTTGGACAATGATGGGAATTTGAGAACTTATAGTTCTGCTAGAAATAGTGGAAGTGGGAACAGAATTGTGAGATGGACTGCTGTTAGTGACCAGTGTCTGGTTTTTGGTTATTGTGGGAATATGGGAATTTGCAGCTATGATGATGACTTCAGTCCGGTGTGTGGCTGTCCATCGGAGAATTTCGATCTGATTGATCCAAAGGATCCTAGGAAGGGTTGTGAGAGGACAGTGAATATTTCGAATTGTTCTGCTCGAGAAATGTTGTCATTGAATCGTTCTACGTTGTTAACATACCCTCCTGAGACGAGTTCACAGTTTTACACGGCAAGCATCACAGCGTGCAGGTCTTTATGTCTCTCTAATAATTTGTGTATGGGTTCAACTTCCTTAGCAGATGGGACAGGAGTTTGCTATTTGAAATTATCACAATTTATCAGTGGATATCAGTCGCCAACGCTTACTAGCACGTCTTATGTCAAGGTTTGTGAGCCAGCTATGCCGAATCCTCCTCACTCTTCAAGAGAAGTTCATAAGAATTATGATGCATTGAAAATTTCTGTCATAGTTTTAGGCTGCTGTTTGATACTGGTTATTTTAGCATGTTTGGTTTGGGTGTTTTTCTATAGTCGAAAACCTAAATTCGAAGGGTTGCCTACCTGGGATTCACTCTCTGAATATGCTTCTGCTCTTCCGGTTCACTTCTCATACAAGGAGCTCCAACAGGCTACAAAGGGGTTCAAGGATAAGCTCGGAGAAGGAGGATTTGGTGCTGTTTATCAAGGGGTCCTCACGAATAAAACTTTGGCTGCAGTGAAGCAGCTCGAGGGGATCGAGCAGGGTGAGAAACAGTTTAGAATGGAGGTTGTGACAATTAGTAGTACTCACCATTTAAATTTGGTAAGACTCTTAGGATTCTGCAGCGAAGGGCGTCATAGGTTATTGGTATACGAGTTCATGAAAAACGGTTCTCTAGATAAGTTCCTCTTTACTTCGGATGAGCAGCCATCTAAGGAAGTTCTAAATTGGGGATATCGGTACAACATTGCACTCGGGACTGCTAAAGGGATTACCTACCTTCACGAGGAATGTCGTGACTGTATCGTTCATTCTGATATAAAACCCGAGAATATTCTATTAGATGATAATTATAATGCTAGGATCTCGGATTTTGGCTTAGCACGACTCATAAACACAAATGGCCCGAGACACAGGTCGATAATGTCCGTGAGGGGGACAAGAGGGTACTTACCCCCAGAATGGCTGGCAAATCTTCCAATCACATCAAAAGCTGATGTTTATAGTTACGGAATGGTCTTGTTAGAAATCATAAGTGGGAGAAGGAATTTTGATGTTTCGTCAGAGACTAATCACAGAAGGCTTTCATTGTGGGCATATGAAGAGTATGAGAAGGGCAATATTGAGGCAATTCTTGATAAAAGGCTTCTTAGACATGAGGTTGACACAGAGCAAGTCATAAGAGCGATTCGAGTTAGCTTTTGGTGCATCCAAGAGCAACCATCTCACAGACCTACGATGGGAAAAGTTGTGCAGATGCTCGAAGGGATTTCTGAGATACCTACACCACCTCCATTTGCGGCCACAAACCCGACCGCTCAGTTTCAGGTTCTCCCTATGGTGTCATCATTCCAAACTGTGTTGAATTCGTCTGTCACTTCATCTCAGACAGCAGAAAACTCATCTTTGACTTCAGAACAAAAATCTGAAAGGGAAACCTCCATTCTCTTACAGGAAGAGGCTTCAACAACATAATTTTGTCCAAAAGAAAGATGAAAATAAGCAGTTTTTGTCAATGTGGGACGGAATGAAAGAAGTTTTGTTAGCACTCTACTGCCAATGTGAACAAAGATCGAGATCGAGGTAATTCTTTTGCAGCAACCGTTTTTTAATGAAATATACTGATTCAGTTCATCCACTCGACTATCTAGCCTGTGTGGTCCTTTTGTAGGGAGATCTATTTGCATCTGAAAATCGGATGGAAATTCAGAAACTCAGGCTACAGATGTTACCATTTTATGTAGTACTTTCTTGAATGCTTTAGTAGAACTACAGAAACATATTTAAACTTATTTTCAGAAAATTTTCCATGGAATTTGGTAATGTTATCAGAAGACTTTCTATTTTTTTTCTTGTAATCACTTATTTTCTTTGCTAAATACATTAACAGTCCGTTTGATTGCAAGAGTAGAATTTGGATGGAAATAAAACGAATTCGAGGAAGTTGAATTATCTAGAACTTGTTTTCTTGAGAATTATTACTTTAATGTGTTTGATTGATATAATTTTCCATTTGAAAAATGTTGAAATTTTCTATCTTTTGGTGTTCGTTTGATTTTGTTTTTCACGAAAATTGTTAGCTAAAGGGAATTTTTTATTTTTATTTTTATTTTTTACATAGAATTTGTTCCCATTGCTGAAAAAAAGAAATTTTTCTTTTTTTTTTTTAAAAGTTGGAAAACCCAATTCCCACCAAAACCATGGGAATTGGTTTTTCTTAAAAAGGTAGAAAATGGGTCACGTGGGGGGTAGGTTAGAGAAGAAATTCCATGGAAAATTTTGATGATCAAACAACACATTTTGGGTGGAAAATGGAGTTATCAAACATGGCCTAAGATTATTGTTGCTGTTGTTTTATAGCCATTTGGTAATTTCAGTAAAGATTATTCTTGTTTGCTGTCCAGAAAATCAACTGATTGATTAAAAATGATTGGATCTTGCACCAGTTACGGCAATAAATTGAAGGAAGTGACTTGAAATGATTCATAAAGCCGATTTCAACTTTCAAATTTGTTAACTAGACTTTTGAGTCTTCTGCTGTTTGTTAACAAGACTTCTCTTCAACTCAAGTATTGCTATAATATTAAATTAAAATGACTACACATCAAAAAGAAGCAACAGGACATGCAAACGTCAAACAGATGACAATGCGAGCGGCAGGGCCGATCCTGTGGCGAGGCCCATGAGGCGGAGAGTATTGCTATAATATTAAATTAAAATGACTACACATCAAAAAGAAGCAACAGGACATGCAAACGTCAAACAGATGACAATGCGAGCGGCAGGGCCGATCCTGTGGCGAGGCCCATGAGGCCTCCGCCTCAGGCCCAAACCGGATGGGGGCCTCATTTTGGCCTATATATATATATATATATATATATTTTTTTTT